CAAAAAATGAACATTTGGCCGAGAAGCGAAGCTTCGAGGGCAAATATGAAATTCACAAACTTGCCCTGTGTTTTAGCTGTACTGAAGCACACCACATCTACTCAAGAATTTGGGTTCTTTAATTTTTATCTGGAAACTTAATACACCTTCACAAACTTGCCCTGGGTTTTAGCTGTACTATTAACCACCACAACACAACTGCTGGGAAATGACACAGCCGATCTGATTGCATAACAGATCGTATATGATTCAAACTTAAGCGACCCTTTATAATTAATGTTTACCAATGCTGAGAGTGTTATACATGCAGAATTCATTAATAAATGTGTCAGTGACAATTTTAGAAAATAAACATCACAGTTTATGCATTAAAAATTCTAAGATGAATCACAGGAGTATTAAACATGCAATCCATGTCAACACTTAAGCTGATTAATAATTGTCTCTCTTGTATTTTCCCTTCCTTATGATCAAATATTTTGTTGCAGCTAGCCATCAATTAGTTTAGAGTGATTTAGAGGAACATCTTTTTAAAACTATGGGACAAACTCGTCTTTACATAATTTATATAATACCATTTATCATACAGATTTTCAGGAACAAGTTTTTCAATTAATTTCATCAGCTTTGAAAATAGGTATTATGCAAACAATGAAGGTTTTGAAAACATACAAGATCGTAGAAAAGGTTGCTTATGACTGATCATTTTGACATATTGCTTGTGATTACCAACCTGGATTTTTGGTTGCAGGTAAAGGATTAAAATTACCAATTGAGCAAGAAAAATAGGGTACTCACACCAAATCTGTTTTATAAGTTTCTATTCAACATTCAGGTATGTATGAGAATAAGCAGCTTTAAATTAAATCAACTTAGTCGTTCTGCATTAGAATGCAGAACGACTAAGTTCAACGCTACAACTCCCAAGATCTGATTGTTAATTCTTCCTTCATGCATTGCTGCAACAGATTTCCTTGCAAATTAGTAACAAGAATTTGGTTTGAGCAAGGTAACAACTTTAAGCTGATAAGTTTTGTCAGATTTTCCTTATTTTTGGGTGCTCTGTTCATGTGAAAGCTGTTTTCCATATTTGGTATTGCACACATGGTTTGCTGTTTTTGTGAATTAATAAATGAGTTGTACCACTGTATCTTGGTCTGGTTCACTTGTATTTGAAATACATAACAAGTTTGATCAGTATTCTCATTACCTGTTTGCTGGGTAATGTATGGATTTTATGGGGAAAAGTTACATGTTAATAATTAACATATAGGAGTAATAAAAGGTTATAACTAAACAATGAGGTGTGAAACTATATATTAAGTATACAACTAAGTATAACTTAAGAGCTGAGCAAAGAGTTTCCAGCAATCTCATTGGTCAAGCAGTTCCTTATATGACGCTATATAAACCGCTCCACACGGTTTATATAAAATGTTAAAATAGAATGTTAATAAAATGTTACTAAAATGCTATGATTTTAGAAATTTCTCTGTTGTTCAGCTCTGAAATTATACTAAAACAATTATTCGCCTCAGGTTCGGTGAATATTGTTGAATAATCGATCCCCTTGACTTCGTCTCGGGGATTATTTGATGATATTCACCTCGCCTTCGGCAAATAATTGTTAACTAATATAAGCAAGCAACTTCACTTCAAAGCCAAATCTTACAATGTGTCTTAATTATGAATTATTTCAAGATGGTTTCCACTGTTGTATATACATGCCACCAAGTTAAATTCTAATCTCCTCATAATTTATCCCAGCCTATTGCCTTGCAATTCAACAGTTCTCTTTGCTATAGGCATGGTAGATCCAGATAACAAACCCTAACTGTTAAGTTATAGCATTCTCGTGACTTGTTTGCCGGATGATGTATAGATATTATAGGGAGAAGTTCCATGTTAATCACTTCTGGGAGTTAAAAGGTAAATACAATGTAGACCATTAATCAAACTCACCATATAGGAGTCAAGATAGCTTCATTGGATCAGTTTCTTTTGACATAATTTTGTTCGGTTGTCCAACTCAAGCAAATTCTTAGACTGGATTTTTAATCAAAGTTTAATTGGTAATTTCAAGGTTTATCAACCCAGTTTAATACCTGAGTTGGCCACTATAAAAGTTTTCAAAGCTAATGTTTCGAGCATTAGTCTTATGTCAGATAACGAAAAAAGACATCGAAATATTTAGTTGTCCATCTTAAGGATGTACAGCATTTGAATGACTGAAACCTGAAAATGTATGATTGCCAACTCTCCTTAAGGAGCAAGCTCGGTATCAATAGAAAGAGGCCCTTTGTTCCAAAAACAAATGGTGACTGAGAGAAATAATTCTTACCACTACCCTCTCCACAACAGCACAATTATGATTTTTATTACATCCATTTTGAAATCACTGGTGGTCCCTGTAATCTGATTGGCTTTAATTGGTGCGATTTATTCATGAATCACACAATTTTTTTCTCTAAATCGCATCTTTTTTCCAGCCAAGGAGGAAGTTCCACTTAAGACAAACAACCAATCAGATTTCGAGGCTTGTTTAAATGGACCAATCAAATTGCAGGAAAATGAAAGACAAAGAGTATTATTTTCAATAATATATTTGAATTGACCAAGTCCTGTATTTGGGTGATTTCAAAACGGATGCTATAAAGTGTTAATTGAACCTTGTGTAGTGCAATTTTGGTCTGAAATCATACTTGTGGTTTCAAATCGAAGGAGCACTGTGCACTCGTTCGATTCTGAAATCACGCGTATGATTTCAGCCCAAATTGCACTCCACTCAGTTCAATTACCATTGCAAATTACAATGATTCGGCTGATTGAATTTGTGACATAATATTATTGTAGCCAATTAAAAATCATTCGAAACTAAATTTACTCACAAATAAACACCACTAAAGATTGCAATTTCAACACGCATAATAAATGCTATTAACATTCCAAAAGAACATCTCACATGCGAGAAAGCAATTATTTCCGAGACTTCTGGAAACATGGTAACATTTCACTTTCAGTTTCCATTCCGTCCGACAACTTCCGCCTTCAACTAAAAAACATCGCGTTTTCGAATACTTCCCTTGTGCTATCGCTGTACTCTTTAAATAAGCACTCAACAACTGCTAGGAGACAATGTAGCCGCTCTGATTGCTAAACAGATTCACACTTAAATACTGATTCGAACTTAAGCGACACTTTCCAATGTTTATCGATGTTGAGTATGTTACGCGCAAAAATTTAGATGCATATTAAAGGTTAATTTGCATATACCATTGTATCTGATTTATCATCACGGGTTTATTATCAATCAACTTAATGGCCTGCTCCCAGTTGGCTTGTTAGCTGAATTGGTAGAGCGCTGCACTAGTATCGCTCCCCGTACATGCCTGATTATTTTCAGGTCTGATTTTCAACTTCAGAATACCCGTCCACATCATTTGCATGTGTCGGGAGGCTTTGAAGAATGAAGCATACCACAATAGATGCTATTCTTATTCAATGACATGTAAATGAGTGGCCGGGTATTCTGAAGTTTAGCCCTGATTTTCGCTATTGCATAAATAGCGCTATCTACTGCGAAGGATCGAGGATCGTGCGTCATACGCATCAGTCATATTTTGCTCATGTTCCTTACTTTGATCACGCGTACGAATGCAGCCTTAGAATACAAGGAACCTTTGCTGCGATCATCCTCCTATCACACTCACCTGTGTTATCTTCATCCTGTTCCGGGCCTAATCGCTCATAGACTCCTTGCTGTCAGCTTTTCTTGTAACACAAATGGAGATGCTAAGACGTAAGGAAAGTGGAGGAGGAAAGGGTTATATCATAGCAAAGCACCCTGGGCCAGATCACGCGAGATACACGCTTGTTCCGTCTCGTGTT